GGAATTGACTTGATGGCACTTAACAACAACAAGCTCATTTTAGAGCAATAATATTTGAAAAGGAAAGAAATTTGTGTCAGCTTCTTTCTCCCATGATTTCAATATTAGAAATAATTGATTGGCCTTTTAAAATTTGATAGAAATATAAACAAATCACCTGAAGTGCAGAAAACCAGGCATGTCATAAAACACGTCAAAAATACTAGTTACACATGTTGCTGTTGTTAAATATCACCGAGTTTATATATTTATATATATATATCGAACAGATGTAGGGCTTCCAAGCAATGGCTGGTGCATTTGAACTGCAGACCTTGTGAGTAGTAGTCTAGTGTTTATACCACAGCACCACATCATGTTAATTACCAAACAAGCTTTCAAACAAAACTGTCTGGGGGTTAGAGAAAAGAGATGGCTCATTTTAGCTCTTCTTCCAGCAAATAGAGTTAATTGTTCTGCTTTCCTTTCCTGGAAAGTTTCTCAAATTAAACATCCAAGCTCTTTATCAATCTGTCAGCAAAGTGAATATTACTACTAAATACTTTGAAATTAAGCTGTGAAGATATATGGGTGTTTTGTACAGACATGCCACAAAGGTTTAATCTAAATTTCATTTCAAGCAAATTTTAAGAAAAATGAGTATCAAAGCTTTGAAAGTATTTATTAATATGCCTTAAATTTATTTGTACCTGAATTTTTTTTTCCTATCTGATTACTTAAGGGAAAAAAATGTTCTATGTTTGTTTGTAAGCTCACATATTGTCTTAGTTAATGAATAATCCTAGTTTCAAATCTTTAGGAATTTTTTTTTAATGTTTAAGGTTTCAATTCTCTTTCTTAACCTGAGTGTAATGCCATAGAATCAAGTTATAGAAAAATAAGTCTTGTATATTTCTCATACTTCCTGAAGGCCAGGGGTTTCTTACTCTCGGACTGTGTAATAAGCCTCCCACATTTCAATTCTGATTAATTGAAAATGATCACATCTATCATAATTGCACATGTAATTAAAATTACAAATGTAGTTCTTTTCATTAACAAAATACCATATGCTTTTGTTGTTAAGTGCCATCAAGTTGGTTCTGACTTATGGTGACCCTACATATGGTCTCCAAGGGGACACTGGTGAATTTGAACCACTGACCTTATGGTTCAAACTGACCTTTCGGTCCAGTGCTTTATCCCACAGTGCCATACTAGAACTCCAGAATAGCACATATATGATGAATTTTAAAAGCATATGAATGAATTGAACATACAGAAGTGCCTTTCCTTACTACCCTTAAACACTCACTTCCTTTATTAATAGATTGTTTTCCTTTTCTTACTTTTCAGCATTTGAAAATGAAATTTATCAATACTTCTTCCTATGATGCAAATATTTTCCCAACTCTGCAATTATTGTGTGGACTTTTTACATTATACATGTTTTTTTAAAAAATGTGTTTAGCTTTATCTTTTTATTTGTTCAGTTTCTGGATTTCTTGCCTCACTTAAGAAAAGCTTCCAAACTCAATTTAAACCAAAGCTTTCTTCTAGTTGTTTTATTTCGCAATGTATCAAGACTATTGAATTTTTGTGGTTAAAACCTACAGTGTATACTGTTGTTGATTACAAACCCTTACTGTTGGCTTCTTCAACTGCCTTTTCCACTTGAGCTATGACCTTAGAAAACTTATCGAATTGCAATTTGAGAAACTAAAGTGTTTCTCATTGCTTTTATTAATAAAGTAGGGGAGAAGGTGTCCTGATGGCGCAGTAGTTAAGTGCTTGACTGTTAACCTAAAGGTCAGCAATTTGGACCCACAATCACTTTGGAAAACAGATGAGGCAATTGGCTTCCACAAAGATTACAGCCTTGGGAACCCTGCAGTGCAATTCTATTCTATCCTGTATGAGTCAGAACTGACTCTATGAGAGGAGGTTACAATTGAGGAAGGTAATAATATATCCATCAGTATTAAATGAGTTACTATAAATATTTCAATCCATTCCTGGATTCTTTAGCAAACTGTCAGTATACTTGACTATCTTCATTAAGTCCTATGTGAATTATTCCACAGGAGATACAAGGCCCTCAATAAGTGTTGATTGTGATGAATGTATTGAACACAACTTTTGTTGTTGTTGTTGATAAATAGATGAACCATATAGAGGTATTATGACCAGTTAGCTTTTCATCAAGTA